TGTAGTAACCTGCAAAGAGAAAGAACCTGAACACGGACAGACGTACGTAGATGGATGGCTGAGGTGTTATGCTGGACACTGGAAGTCGACACAACATTGTAAATTGACTATTTCAATTTAAAAAAGGGGGGGCGGGGGAGCTGAGGATCAGGAAGGAATTCATCACTAGAGACAACGCGGTAACTGTTGGCCAGTGGTTTATCTCTTCTCCTCCAGGGAGAAGCACCCAGAAAGCGAGGGCTTAAAACCAGACCCTCTGTATTTTTTAAAGCGTAACAATAACCCTGATTTACTTGTTTAAATCTGGTGGCTTCTCCTTCACCTACAGGATAAAGAACATCGCACTGAAGGTGCTTCTTGAAGGACAGAGAAGTGTGACAGAACTGGCTTCTGACGTGTCTCACCGAGTGCAATGCCCCCAAGGTACACCCGCGCTGTCCCCAACGGCAGGACTTCCGCGGAGAAAGGCAACACTGTATGACGTCACTTGCACGTGGAATCTCAAAAAAGCCAAACTCAGAGAAACAGAGAGTGGAGTGGTGGTTCCCAGGGATGGGGCAGGGGAAGTGGGGAGGTGCTGGTCCAAAGGCACAGACTTCCAGTCCTACGATGAATAGATTCTGGGGATCGAATATACGGCACGGTGACCACAGTCAACATTGCTTTATGCACCTGGAAGCTGTTGAGAGCATACATCTTACATGTTCTCCACGGCAGCTATGTGATGGGACGGAGGTGTTACCTAAAGCTATGGTGGTAACCACTCCGCAGTCTAGAAACATATCAGATCAGCAGGCTGCACACCTCAAATTTACACAACGTTGTGTCCATTATATCACAGTAAAGTTGGAGGAAAAAGTAACTCACTTCTGCATCAGACTTCCATTGGGTCCTTGTCTCCATCTTTAGCTAAGTGAGCTCTCTGCCTCAGTTTCCCTGTCTATAAAATGGGTATAAAAGGTACCAGCCTCCTAGTGCCTCCCTGTGGGAGTATGAAGTCATGATCGTACTGTGTCTCCCACATCCAAGCACACAGTAAGCATTCAAATGATACTCTGCCCTACAGAATTGTCCCCCACAGAATCTTATCTCCCCCTTTACACCCATCACTCTGTTCCAACCGCATGTTGAATGTCCCTGGAAAATCCACCTCTGAGCCATCATATATGCAGTCATCCCCTGCCAAGAGCTTTCTTTCCCTCCCGCTTCCTTCTGGGCGCTTGGGGACGGGGGCGAGAACTCTTACTTCAAGGCTCACTTCAAGCCCTAGCCTCCTCAGCACAGTTTCCCCCGAGCCCCTAAGCACTTTGTAAGAATGGCTGCAACCACTGCCTGTCTGCAAAAATGGCTACCATTTAACCAAATTCGTACTGCCCGAGGCTAAGCCATCTGAGTTTGCAGAGCAAACACATGGCATTGTGGTTAAAAATCAGTCTTCCCCTTTGATAGGAAAGATTCACGGTGCAGGGAACATGTCCCACACACCACAGCAAAAGGTACTGATTCAAAGGAGTAATGTTTACAAGGAACCAAGGGTGGGGCAGATAAGAGTAAAACTCTTTCTCTAAACTTGGAGCTTATCACCAAGCAGAAGAGATTTTTTTAAAGGAGAGCTTTATGCTTCACCATTTTTCACCTCCTTAACCACCGCCCCTCCCCACCCCGAGTGGAGAGAGAGAGGGGGTCTTCAGGCACAGAGAACAGGACTGACTCACCCAAGTGTGCTCAGTGCGCAATTCGAGCACTTCAGCACCTCGCACAGCCGTTTCACCCCATCATCCTGAACGTCATTTTCCCCAATATCCAAGGTTTTCACATTAGGGTTGCACTTGAGGGCGTCAGCAAGCTCCTGACAGCCCTCTGCTGTCAAAGAGCAAGCTGACAAGCTGCAAAGGAAAAATAAACAGAGTGGGGGAAAGTCATCCTTCAGCCATCAGTCTTTGCTGTTTGTTCAAGCCCATCCCACTGTCTTCCACGGGAAGAAGAGGTGCCCACACGTCTTATCCTGAGCCCTGAAAGAGGAAGGTGCTGGGTAGGAGGTCTGGGACCCCTGGGCACTCGATCTACCTGGGAAACAAGCAAAGGCCACCCAGCCATCTCCCTCCCCAGACCACCGACAGGCCTGTCTCTGTGACGCTCACCAGAGAACCCAGGCTCTGCTTACCACAGAACATGTTTTTCACCTTTTAAGCTCAACATCTTGGGCTGAAAAAGACACCAGGAATCTCACTTAACGGCAGATCTAAATTCCTAAGGATGAATTATTATAGCAAGATAGGTTTGAGATCAGTGACCCAGGTAAACACTGGGAGAGAGGACAGAGGAGGAGCAAGGTGAGAGGGCGAGACAGCGATGAGAGAACACAGAGACAGTGAGGAGAGACACTCAGAGACACAGAGGAAAGAGAGACACAGATGGGAGAACACTAACAGAGACACAGAGGATGAGGGACACTCAGAGACACAGAAGGAGAGGAGAGAGAGAGATGAAACGCCAGAGTGACACGTTAAGGAGGAGAAGAGAAACCTAAGGCAGAAATTCTTGTGCCATAATAGGAAAAGTTTGGCTTCATGAAAAATGTCCACATGGTTAAAACTGTCAAGAGCCAAGTCTAAGGGAACTGTGAGCAAGATAAACAATGTATACAAATTACACCCAAAATGACTCAGTTTCACTAGTGAAGAATGCCTGCAAATCAAAGGGAAAAAACCCAAAACCCAATAGGGAAAAAAGGACATCAGGTTTTATCCACATGGTTTTCAGTTGGAAGGTCACACAGGTGGCTCTCGGCATTTGCAAGAGCGGAAGTCGGGAGTCCTGGTACTGCCAGGCAGACGTGCCTCCAGGACCAGCAC